CATCCGTCTATCATCATCGCAAAGACCATCATAAAAGTAAAGGATAGGGTCTTGCTCCGAATAGTCGTGATACGGGCAGCTTGCACAAAGTTTCTTGAATCGTTCCCAGAATTCGTAGAACGATTCATCATCTTTTTGCTCCACATTGCTGATTTGTTTCTTTAGAGATGAGGAGATTGAGGCAGGATAATACCTTTCGAGGAAGCTCTTCTTCATGGCCGCCCAAGTGTCTATGCTTCCCGAGGGAAGATAGAATAGCCAATCTTTGGCGGTGTCTTTGAGGGAGAATGGAAAGGCCCTCAACTTTATTTGATCCTCATTGACACCGTTCGGGCACATGCTTGTGCAAACGATGTGGAACTCCGAAAGATGTTTATTCGGATCCTCTCCTCTTAGTCCGTGGAAAGATGGAAGTAGATGTATGAGTCCGAATTTCAACTCAAATGTAGCACCCGCATCAAGAGTTGGGAAGGTGATACATAAGGGTTGTTGATTTAGATTGGGGGCTGTGAGCTCCCTCAACGTTCTTGTTTCAAGAGCCGTCGATATTGGCTCTTCGGACTCGCTGGATTGAGAACTAGCACTTGAGGATTCTCCCGAGTCGGTATTTGAGAATTTATTTTTTAACCGCTCGAGAGCTTGTTCTATTTCGGGATTTGTTTGGTAGGTGAGTTGGTTTATGGATCGGGTTTTTACCATATACTCAAACAAAGCTCAGAAAAATAGAAATCTTTATAAATATTTTTTTTTATTTTTCTTAAAATGAAATAAAAAGAAAAATTAATTGCCTTTCCCCGGCAACGGCGCCAAATTTGATGGCACTTGTCGTGAGGTGCACTCAAAATAAATACAATACAACAAATATACGTAGTATATTGAAGTAAGGTTCGTATCCACAGGGAAAGGAATACTTCTCTTTTTATAAAACTATGTAAATAAAGGGGTGAATTTGGATTGAATGATTTGATTTAATAAGAAACTAAGATGAACGACTTATATGAGATTTAATTCAAGTATAAAAGGGACTTGGTCTTGCTACTTTCCACTTGTTGATATATTTTAGTCGATCATTCTTATATCTATAACTTATCCACTCTCGAATACTTCAATCGAGGAGTATATCCAATTCATCGAGGGTAGTTATTAACAATGATCGTTCATTAATAACCCTTACTATTAATCAAATATAGAAAACGCCTTATACCGATTTAATAGTAGCATTTAATCTTTCTAACTCCTTGATGAAATCAATTGAGATTGATAACCTTAACACAACGGTTTCGGTTTAACCAACAAAATTGATCCCTCTCAAGTTTATTAACCACGACCGTGCATTAATAAACCGAAGTTACTTACTTGTGAAACCATCAATGATTAAACATCGATTCGTTGATCGTTTCTAGTAGTAATTAATGTTGGAACGTTAACTAATCGTCACTTAGCAACCCTCCAACATTAATATAGAATAAGATTAGGGGAACAATTAATAATCAAGAGAAGAAGTTAAGAAAATAACTCACAACTTTAATAATCAACAAGCTTCAAGAGCAAAACCAAGAAATGACAGTTCGTATACCGTGGGAGCAGCCCACGGTGAGCATGCTGCTCCCACAGAAAAAAAGTGTGTTACTGTTCACGCGCGTGAACAGTAACTTCATTTTTGTTTTTTCATTTTCCCAGTAGCGGAATAGGTGTAACTCGCGTGTAACAAAATGTAACACACGCTAATAAGAAATGTAACAACAAGCAAGTTGAAATGTAACTTGTCTAATACGAATTATAAGAAATAAAACATTGATTTTAATGAAAACAAGGAGTCTAATTGCTCAATTACTTTACTTAAATAGTTTATATGTTTTGTTTTCAATATTAAGGACATAATTTTTTTTTTACCTTTTTTTTTTGCCAAATTAAAAATCATTTTTTTGGCCAAAAACTCATTTTGTTTTTGCAAAAAAAATGTAATTTTTTTATTCAATAGCAGGGGTTAACATAAATGTTGAATATATTTTTTTTAATATTAAGTCCATAAAAATGTTTTTAAAAATACATTTTGTGCCAAAACACATTTTTTTTTGGAAAACAGTTTTTTTGCATAACAATGATTCTTTTGTTGCAATAGTAGGCTTTATGTTGTGATGTGATTCATATTACAGAAAATGTAACCCGCGTTGATTGAAAATCTAACTTTAGTGTATGCAAAATGTAACTTGTTGAGACAAACTCAAATGTAACTCGCGTATGGAAAGATGTAACTCACGCACAAGAAGATGTAAATCGTGCATAAGAAGATGTAACTTCATATAATATCAAATGTAATTATAGAAATAGTCTATAAACATAACTCACACATACGAAAAATGCATTATTCTCATGTTTTTTTCAAATTTAAATCGAAATAAACAACCTTAATGACTATAAAACACAAAAAACATATAAAAGAGATAAGAAATATATTATAGAAAAAAGTATATGAATATAAAAAAATATTTTACAAAAAAAGTGTATGAATATGAAATACAATATACTTGTGTTTTTTTTTGAGTTTAGGAATATTTTATTATTTTTTCTAATAAATATAAAAAAAAGTATACAAAGTAAGAAATAGTGTATAAATATGAAATACAATATACTTATTTTATGTGGTTTAATAAAATTTTGTATTAAATTGGTAAAGAAAAAAATTAATTCAGTTATAATTGAATTAGTTCAAAATAAAGATAAGTAAAAAATCACAAATAATTAGATGTAACTCACACATAATTACATGTAACTCGCGAATAAAAGTATGTAACTCGTGTATAAGAAGATGTAACTCACACATAACAAGATGTAACTCACGCATAATAACTTGTAACTGGAGTATAAGATGATGTAACTTCGTATATTATCAAATGTAACTCCAAGCTAGAAGCAAAATAAACAAACTCAATATCTTAAAAACCTCTAACAACATATAAAAGTGATAAAAAAATATATTATAGAAAAAGTGTATGCATATAAAAATATATTACAAAAAAATGTGTGAATGTAAAAAAGATATTACAAAAAATAGTGTATGAATATGAAATGTAATGTACTTATTTTATTTAGATTATTAAACTTTTTGTTATGTATTGATAAAGAATTAAAAAATAGATTCAATTATAATTTAAATTGAAGATAAGGAAAGTAAAACTACAATTAAATTTTTAATATTTTAATTTGATGGAAATTGAGAAGAATTAAAGAAAAGAAAAATAAGGAAAGAATAACAAAAGAAAAAGGAATGAAGAAGTTCCAGGGAAGAATAAAAAGGAACGTAACTTGTAAAAGTGGGATCGGCACACCATGCGGAAGGTGGGCCGATCCCACGGTATAATTTGCCCCCCCCCCCCCCCCCCCCCCCAAGGGGTGCTTGCTCCCACTTTAGCACTCCCAAATACATGGGTTGTTGTGCTTTTTTGGGCGAACAGATTAAATTTGCCTTATTCAACCATGGGTTGCGGGCAACCTTAGTACACATAATTAGTACACAACTTACACAACTCTGGTAATTGTTTGTGTACACAAACAATTTATTTGACAAAAGACATAATTTTATGCCAAAATGCTTTCGTACACAGAAAATGTTGAATCTATGTACACATTTTGTGTTTAACAAGAATTACTCATGGCATGATATTTAGAGCACCATCAAATTCAGCCATGTTTTACACATGTTTTTAGTTTTTTATACACTAGACAAATCTTTGAATAAGCTATTTTTTATGAATAGTCAGTTAACAGACAAACATGTTCACGGAAGTCAATGAGATTGCTTTGTGTGTAAGGTTGCTTTGTCTGTGAACAGACTATTTATACATGTGCATTGATGTCAGTGAGATTGTTTCGTTTGTGAGGTTGCTTTGTCTGTGAACAGGCTATTCATAGATAAAAAATAGTCTGTTCACCGTTATTGTATAGATGTGTACAAAAAGTGTGTATAAAAAGTTTTTTCATCAAATTTGTGCACCTTAGCAACGGGAGAGTATATATCCTTTTGAATATAAATCGCTGATATATAACATAATCATCGATCTAACTTAGACAATCATTTTTGAATGTGAATCGCCTTTATTGATATATAAATAATCATTAACCTGAGTTCGGATTCAACATCAGTTTCCGTTTCCAAGGAAACTCATACAATCCAAAGGTCCCACGGCCTAAAATTGAATAAAACTTTTAACTAATCATTGGAGAGTTTCGAAAAATTTCCGAGTTTTGTGCTCCTCGACATTTTTGTCTTCAGCTTTTTCTTCTTTTCCTTGCTAAAAACACTACCACTATTCTACAACTATACATGAAAGCTAAAAACAATTACAAACAAAATAAAACAAAAGCTTACAAACTAACTAATAATGATAGAAAGTCTACACAAAATCAACATAAAAACATACATTTATGCACTATAAACTAGTGCATATCAGTGTGGGATAAATCATACTAGAAACTATCATTTTTCCTAGTTTTCTCCATTTCAACGAGTGAACTTCGAGAATCAATTTCTCATTCACCCGTTATCCGTTTTGAGTGTACCACATATCGAATTGTAGCCCTTAACAAGGACAATGAGAAATCACTTTGACGCGACCCAAATCTGAAGTGGACCCCACTCAAAAAATTGCCCCAAAATGACCATTTAATGCAATTTATTAACACATTTTGTAACAATATGCTCATTTGGTATCGATAGTATGCTCATTTTTTTAAATGTCAAATCAATGCATATTTCAAGAGTACATCATTACATTAAATTCACATATTGAAATTTATACGAGTTGATTATAGATATAATTTAATAAGTATATATAAAAGAAAATATAAGAAAAAGAAAGTGAATTAGAAGATTTTACACGTAGTATGAAGTAGAGATGACAATGCTCAATATTGGACTTCTAATACTCAACAAAATAGATCTCATGCTCACTAAACTAGACTTCTAATATTCAACAAAATAGATCTTATGCTCACTAAATGTGCATTAATACTCATTTAGCGGAAGCCACGATTTTCAGTTAAATTACAAAAATGTCACCAGATGTAGGATGTTCATTATTGTAGTCTTAATAGAAATGCAACTCAAGTTAAATAAAAAATGTAAATTGGGTTAATTTAAATGTAAATTGAATCAAATAGAAATGTAAATTGCTTTGATACACATGTATCTTAGGCTTGAACCCAAATAAAAATAATCCATCCTCAAGCTTCTAACGAGGCTTTCGATGTAGCTATCCTCCAAGATAACACAAAGCCATAGAGACTCTTGGCCGAAAATCAAAGATCTTCCAATCTCCCTTCCACAGGACAAATTGTGGTCTCCGGTGGTGGAACCCGTCGAAATCCCGGCAAACGAACCAAACCACCCAGACCACCCACTCCACTCTCCGGTTGAAGGCGACTTCCGATAACCGTCCAGATCTCAAACAAAACATCCCCGTTAAAGCAAAACCAAGCGCGGCCAGTTCAGACAACCCAACAACCAATCCGGTCATCTTCCCCAGTGAAGCACCGGCGAGGCCACAACATCAACCTTGAAATCAGAACGCGGCGCAACAAGTCTAGCAGTTCGAGATGCACCAGAAGGTCGAAGATTGAAGCCAAGCAATTCCAAATGCGGGTTGGAGCCAAGCAATTCCAGATGTGGGACTCCCCTTGACTAAATCAGTGGATTGTCTATTTGAGCGATGCAAGAAATTTGCTCTCTTTTAATTGAAAAACAATACCGTTTTGGGATCGGGTGCACCGTGCTCACGGTACAACGATCCCACGGTATAATTTGCCAAAGGCATATATTTAACGAAAAAATAAAATCCTACGTGATCATAATAGGTTCCCTCAACTCATTAGAGATTATAACAACAATGTTCACTTAACAAAGAGAAAATCTTAAAATATAAGATTAAGACAATCAAATTACTCTATTTTGAGAATAGTACGTAGTATATCGCTACTTCGATTTGTGCAACTTACTTATTTACTCCGTCTGTTTTATTCCTAACTAGAACATTTTCTATAAGATTAAGGCAATCAAGAATTCTCAAAATAGGGGCCAGTTAGTCCTAGTTTAGGAAAAATATTGAAACTTACAATATACGGAGTATTTTACTAACAATGTTAACCTTTCCCGGAAAGACCTCCAAATTAACCCAAGCTTTTCAAAAGAATACCAAATAATTGAAATAACTAAATTAATATATACTTGTAATTAGTAAACAAATCAAATGAAAAAATAGATAAAATAATAGAAGTGGAACTGTGGAAGTACTAAGTCTATTTGAATTTCCAATCTTAGACTGTGTGGTCTTGCTTGTTCCTCTTGACATGGCAGTTAATAGACTCATGATGAGTAGAGGTTACACACCCAAGCTTCCTTTTGAATTTCTTCCACACACTACTGCTATTATTCCTTCTGCTATTACTACTGATGCCACAATCATTCTCCCTCAACACTGTATTCATGTTATTACTATCGTCTCCTTTTCTTGTTCCTTCCTCATCTTCCTCAGACCTCTCTGCAACAGCTTGGGTAACAATGGTGGCGGTGTCCCTCAGCTTCATCTCACCTATAGCTACAAACAGAACTCGCACCACCAACCTCAAAGGCAACCTCTGATTCCTTACGGCGTGCTCGCGCGCCACCGTCGACAGCATGCTGCAATCCAGTGCACCACACACCATCTCCTTCTCCTGCTCCGTCAGCCATCCGTGCGCCTCCAAGTACACATCCACGGCTCTGTACAAACCATCGGAGCATCCGTGTGTCGCCGCCGCCACGGTGGAGGACAACTCCGCCAGAGACACAAACGTCTCCATCTTCAACTCGAGATCCCGAGAAACCTCAGCTAAAAACTCATTCATGACCTCTCCCACTCTCACAAGCCCAGAGACGTCTGAACTTCTGTAGTTACAGCAGTAACTCTTCATTAACCTTTTCAGACATTCAATGTCGTATTTTTCTCCTCCTCCTCCTTCTGCTTGTTCCTCGGCACCGCTATATTGTTCAGATAGTGATATTAGGTCTTGGACGGTGACCTCATCTAGCCGTTTTCCAACTCTGTCCTCCAACCCGTCCTTGCATTCTTCACTGGCACCCGATTCCACTGCGGTTTTCAGCATTTCCAGTAGGGTCGTGAATGGAATAACGACAAGTTCTTTCTCTTCTTCCTCATCCTCCTCCTTATCTTCATAGTAGTCGTTGGGCGGTAAGAGTCTTTGGATGGCTTCAATGACTTCTCTTCTGTCAGTTGTGGATCTGTTTTTGTTAAAATAGTGACACAGAGAAGCTGATGCGTATTCTAGAGGGACGCGACGGCAAATCATATCGGCCATTATCGGCTCGTACAGCTTGATACCAAGTGCGGCTAGGTCCTCCGTTTGCCAATCCGGGGAGAACAGGGTCCTCCGCAGATTTCGTTCATGACAGAGAAGGCGGGGGTCGTGAAGGGCTTGAGTGGTGAGCGACTCCACGCATTCATGGATGAGACCGAGCTGCATGGATCGGTCCAGGCCTTCGGTATGCATGGACATGGTGGTAAGAGCTGTGATGGTTTTGTTCCAGCTGGGAAGGACGTTGTTTCGGAAGTAGAGGTAAGCCATTTTGAGGAGGTTGTTGGGTCTGTGGTCTTCGGTCATTCCTAGGTAATAAGCCAGCCATGAGACTTGGAAGAAGTTGTGGGGAGTGAGGTCGATTGCATAGCCGTGGCAGTATCTGGCTACCAGCTCGAAGGTTTGTGGGTCAGTGGGGATGTCCTCCCCGAGCAAGAAACAAAGATTCTCTTCATCTGGCTTCTCTTTCAGCGCTTGAGCCACTCTAGAGGATTTTTCTGCCAAAAGCTCCTGCATCCATGCACACATTAATTTGCAAACATCAATGTTCAAGTATATTCATTACTACTTTCTCAACGAGTACTCACACTGCACGTTCTTGGAAAAGTTCAATTCTTAATCTTCTACTCCAAATTCTTCTGATAGGACCAAGTAAACTGACATGCACTAATGTATGTTGTTTTTATGTTTGATTTGTGTGGATTGTTTACCATTTTATTTAGTTTGTAAACATTGGTGCGATTTTAGTTGTAATTGTATTTTAATCTTCATTTGTAAAGTAAGTTAGGAATTATGGTGTTGGAAAGGGGGACTTTGAAGTGTAGAAAAATGATATTTGACTGCCCAGGAGCTGAAACCCGACCGGGTAGAACCTTGCACCCGGTCGGGTAAGAACTGAAAACCGAAGATGCTCAGGAAATTGTCAGACCCGGTCGGGCTCACTACCTCACCCGGTCGGGTGAGACTTGACCGGAGGCAATTCGGCGTGCTGAAACACAAGAACGTGGGAGATTATCTGATTTTGACCGGTACCCGGTCGGGTGAACATCTTACCCGGTCGGGTACCCAGCCAAAGGTATTGAAAAACACCTATAAATAGCACACATTTTCTTGACTACGAGGCATCCCTTCTTCCATACTCTTAAACTCAGTTTAGAATAGCATTTCTTTATATTTTTCTAGCTATGTTTAGTCTCCAAATGAGGAGCTAAACTTCCATTTCTTGGTTTTTCTCTTGAAGTTTGTTGATTATTAAAGTTGTGAGTTATTTTCTTAACTTCTCTCCTTGAATATTAATTCTTCCCTTAATCTATTTCTATTTTAATGTTGGGGAGTGTTGCTAAGATGACAATTAGTCAACATCTCAATATTAATTATTACTAGAAACGATCAACGAATCGATGGTTAATCGTTGATGGTTTCACAAGTAAGTAACTTCGGTTTATTAATACACGGTCATGGTTAATAAACTTATGAGGGATTAATTTTGTTGGTTAAAATGAAACCGTTGTGTTGAGGTTATCAATCTCAATTGATTTCATCAAGGAGTTAGAAAGATTAAAAGCTATGATTAAATCGGTATAAGACGTTGTTCTATATTTGATTAATAGTAAGAGTTATTAATGAACGGTCGTTGTTAATAACTACCCTCGATGAATTGGATATACTCCTCGATTGAGTATTCGAGATGGGATAAGTTATAGATATAACAAGGATCGATTAAATATATCAATAAGTGGAAAGTAGCAAAGCCAAGTTCCTTTTATCTTTGAATTAAAACTCATATAAGTAGTTCATCTTAGTTTTTAATTTAATTAAATCATTCAAACCCAAAAAACCCCTTTAATTACTAGTTCATAAAAAGAAAAGTATTCCTTTCCCTGTGGATATGAACTCTACTACGCTAAACTACGTATAAATGTTGGTATTGAATTTATTTTGACGCACTACGACAAAGTGCACGTCATAAACCCTATATGTGGGGAGAAAAATATATTTAATCACAGTATAGATATTTGTCTATGGTTTACTCATTGAACAATTTCTTGAAATATACGTAGTCAATTTAAATATCTGTCTTTAAATATTATCAGAAGAAATTTACTTTATCCTTGATTAAGCATCATGAAATATCATGGAGAAGATAGTAGAAGCTTTTGGAAATCTGTAATACCATGCTCAAGTATATTTACTTTTGATTAATTATGTATTGAACCTTGAGGAATGATTAATGAATTTACGAGGTTGTAAACTTTCGTTACGTAGTATTAATTTTGCGTGAATAGTAAAATGCACATGGGGCACACACCGGGAGCAGAGACAACTTGATACTTCCGGGATCACATATTATATTCATCTTGGTCTAGATAATGTTTATATGGTGGTTTATATTCTTGTAGGGCCATAAGAAAGGCATAGGATTGACCGGTCGGTCAAACGAGACCCAATTACCGGTATTGATAATTTACTAGATAACAGCCCGTAATAAATTCCGGGGACTTCTAAATTTAAATTGGGGAACGTATATTTATTCTAAAGGCCCATAGTGATTCGGAATATTATATATATTTTATTGGGCTCGATAAAATAAAACATAATTAAAACAGTCCGAGAAATATAACTTTTGGGACCGAATGTACACATTGGAACATAAAAGGATGATCTCCTACATGGGTGGGGGCCACCCCACGAATTTGCACCTATCAAAGGTCAATTAAAGCTGGCTAAGTGACTTATTGGGGCTGTGAGACAAAGGAGGAATGGGAGGAGTCAATCAAGTGTGCAATGGGACCTCCCCTACATTATTTTGAGAGAGAAGCCAAAATGGCTATCTCTTCACTCACCCACTCCTCACATTTTGACCAAGGCACTAGGAAAGAGAGAGAAGCTCTGAGACTTTCACCCCCAAAGCTAAAAGATTGAGCTCAACCAAGAAGGGGTCCAAGGAGAAAGGAAGAATAGAGAAAAGGAAAGAAAACCCTTTGAAATTAAGTTGAGAAGCTCTTTAGCAACTTTTCTTTCCTCATTTGATTTTCATATGACTTATACATCATATCAAGGACATCAAGTATTGTTCTACATGTTTAGAAGTATAGAATGAGGGGTTGGAAGGTGGTTCTAGGTCCAGGAACGGACTTAGAAGCCAAAATGACCAGTTCATCGGAAAATAACCTTTTAGAGGTTATTTGTGTTGATGTTTGTTTTGTGATGATGAAACCTTGTTAGGAACTTGTCTAAGATGTTCCTAGTGCTCTCAAGGAGTTGAAAGAGTCGCCATAGTTATCTCCCGAGTTCAACTGAAGAGGGTAGAACTTCTTAAAACTCATTTAAAGTGAGTGGACGACATAATGTCTTATAAATCTTGAGTTAACTATAGGATTATCTAATGAAATGTTATATGTATTCATAATGATGTTAAAAGAGTTTAAGCATGTGATTAACCAAGGTGATTAGACTTATGTGAATTAAAATGGAATATTATGCATATAAGTGAATAAAAATGCATATAAAAACATATGTGATGTTTTGAATGGCCAAAATGGCATTTATTGATTTCTTAAGACTGAATACATATTGTGTATAAGTTTCAGAGCAAATGAAGTCTGTTTCAAAGGTCAATGGGCTGTTGACCCTGGGCAATAAGCTGACTGGCGCCGGTTTGGCCAGTGTGTGGCCGGTTCGGAGTTTGCCAGTGAACCGCCGCCGGTCAGCCAGTGAACCGGCGCCGGTTTTCTTACGATTTCTGGTATCCGTTTTTTCTGAAACGCCTATCGGGGGCCAGTTAGAGGTGGATTAACCCTGATCTTCCTATATATGTATATTTTGCATGAAATTGCATGAAGTATGATGTTTAAATGCTAAGGCTTGATATATGATGATTAAATGCTAATGCTTGGTTTAGTCATTAGTAATGATATACGTAGTAATATAGATCCTATCTAGTATGATATGTGCTAGATCATAGGAAATTGTGGAGTACCCAAGGACTGTCATGTTCTCAAAACTTGGCATATAATTGGTGGAGGACCCAAATACTGGACTATCCTCAAAACTCGGAAATGTAATTGGTGGAGAACCCAGGGACTGGACTGTCCTCAAAACTCGGTATAGATATAAATGGTGGAGAACCTAGGGACTCGACTGTCCTCAAAACTCAGAATATAATTGGTGGAGTACCCATGGACTGGACCGTCCTCAAAACTCATTGACTAAGGTTTAATAGCCTAGGACCGGGCATTGTTCTTAAGGTGCTTGATTGAACAAGGAGGAGTTGTATACACTCATGGGCACTTGAGTGGGTTGGGTTTAATGAGTCAAGGTTATTCACTATTATGATTTTCCCAAGAAAACAATGACTTACTGGTCGAGTATTTTCCAAGTGTATATATTGATTTGTATTTCAAGACTTCGGGGGGAAAGTATAAGTGTATGTATCACCCTATGTTTGGGTCTTATACTTGAAATGTTATTTATTCTACATTTAGCCTGCTTCTCGCCAGTATTCGCTTTCTGAACCCTTTGGGGAGGCCACCATTTCAGGTTGAAGCTAGAGCTTGCTACCTGCACCTTTCAGACGGGTGAAGTCACATTCATGAGGATGTGGTTCGTGCTTCCTTGTTATCTTCAAGACTACAAGCACTTGCTCATGAATATTTTGCAATGAATACTTTGTTTTGGGCTTGCGAGCCCACGTTTTGCCATATGTGGCTTATGATTGACTATTGAATATTTCCGCTATTCATTCAATCTAAATTGTGATGTTGTTATGTATGTTTACTTACTGTGTATGGTATGAACAATGTTCATGGACGTCTTGTACAATCAAGTGAGTGTGACTCGCGGGTGATGTCACTTGATTGTATGACGGTTGTACATGTGGTTAGATGCAGTCTAGGGCATGACAAAACCTCTAGAATATCTAGGAATGACCTTGAAGGATCAAGAACGTCCTAGACCCCTATTTATTGATTTCTTAAGACTGAATACATATTGTGTATAAGTTTCAGAGCAAATGAAGTCTGTTTCAAAGGTCAATGGGCTGTTGACCCTGGGCAATAAGCTGACTGGCGCCGGTTTGGCCAGTGTGTGGCCGGTTCGGAGTTTGCCAGTGAACCGCCGCCGGTCAGCCAGTGAACCAGCGCCGGTTTTCTTACGATTTCTGGTATCCGTTTTTTCCGAAACGCCTATCGGGGGCAGTTAGAGGTGGATTAACCCTGATCTTCCTATATATGTATATTTTGCATGAAATTGCATGAAGTATGATGTTTAAATGCTAAGGCTTGATATATGATGATTAAATGCTAATGCTTGGTTTAGTCATTAGTAATGATATACGTAGTAATATAGATCCTATCTAGTATGATATGTGGTAGATCATAGGAAATTGTGGAGTACCCAAGGACTGTCATGTTCTCAAAACTTGGCATATAATTGGTGGAGGACCCAGGTACTGGACTATCCTCAAAACTCGGAAATGTAATTGGTGGAGAACCCAGGGACTGGACTGTCCTCAAAACTCGGTATAGATATAAATGGTGGAGAACCTAGGGACTCGACTGTCCTCAAAACTCAGAATATAATTGGTGGAGTACCCATGGACTGGACCGTCCTCAAAACTCATTGACTAAGGTTTAATAGCCTAGGACCGGACATTGTTCTTAAGGTGCTTGATTGAACAAGGAGGAGTTGTATACACTCATGGGCACTTGAGTGGGTTGGGTTTAATGAGTCAAGGTTATTCACTATTATGATTTTCCCAAGAAAACAATGACTTACTGGTCGAGTATTTTCCAAGTGTATATATTGATTTGTATTTCAAGACTTCGGGGGGAAAGTATAAGTGTATGTATCACCCTATGTTTGGGTCTTATACTTGAAATGTTATTTATTCTACATTTAGCCTGCTTCTCGCCAGTATTCGCTTTCTGAACCATTTGGGGAGGCCACCATTTCAGGTTGAAGCTAGAGCTTGCTACCTGCACCTTTCAGACGGGTGAAGTCACATTCATGAGGATGTGGTTCGTGCTTCCTTGTTATCTTCAAGACTACAAGCACTTGCTCATGAATATTTTGCGATGAATACTTTGTTTTGGGCTTGCGAGCCCACGTTTTGCCATATGTGGCTTATGATTGACTATTGAATATTTCCGCTATTCATTCAATCTAAATTGTGATGTTGTTATGTATGTTTACTTACAGTGTATGGTATGAACAATGTTCATGGACGTCTTGTACAATCAAGTGAGTGTGACTCGCGGGTGATGTCACTTGATTGTATGACGGTTGTACATGTGGTTAGATGCAGTCTAGGGCATGACAAAACCTCTAGAATATCTAGGAATGACCTTGAAGGATCAAGAACGTCCTAGACCCCTAGACATTCAAGCATTCCTTACTACAAAGCTCTATCTTAAGTATATACATGGTTTCCATTTATTCCTTTACCCACTTTCCTTCAATCTTCTCCATTGATATCCTTAGCGGCTCTCAACTGAGTTGTTTTGCCTAACTTAGCCCTCGATCTAAGGAGTATGGTAGGTGGCATATGGCCACCATCATGATGGTTGTTTTTTTTTGTTCGAAAGGTAAGCAGAAGTTATGTATGAACTATGAAGTATGAACAGGCATAATGGCAATCCACTTGTAGTTAGTGCGTACATATAGTGAAATCAAACCCGTTCAGAACGAATTATGTTTCTTTTAAAAAATAAATTTGCCCCGTATTCAACTTGCACTTTTGTAATGTTTTAATCCTATTTGAAGAATTAACTCTATAGATAATATGGTTGATCAGAATTAACCAAATACTTCGTACGTGTGAAGACCTCAACTTGCACCACCTAACCAATATAATTAAGATACTTCAATCTAAACACGTGAATGTAACAAACACCAATCAACTCTATCAACCACCAATATTAAAAAACATCACGGAGTACGGAGTACTATTATGGAATACTCCGTATATACTAGAAGGGCAATATTTATATGCTAAGATATGTCATACTTATGATATATATTTGTAAATATCACTATATTTAAGTTCATAATCTTCCATTTTAGAACTTTCCTAAGTCAATGGAAGAATGAAGAATCCATTTAAAATTTAACGGAAGAAGTTTATTGACATGATGAAAGTTATGCACATTATTCTTTCTTTAAGTTTTTGAGAAGGTCATACTTTCTAGAGTTTCATCCTAAAAAATGGATGAGTCTAAGATCTTATATACGTAGTAGTATTTTATTATTTCATATCAATCATATGTGAAATAAATCTTAATATTTGGGGCTCCATCCTAAATAGGTCAACTTACTCAAGATCTTATATGGTGCTTTATTGTTTCATACCAATTGTAAGCGGAATAAATATTTAATGATGCCCCCTCAAAACAACCGAACTTAACAACATTAGGGTATATAAATGGAGCAAACATGCAATTAATAAGTTATCCGTAATTATAGGTGTTGAATAAAAATCAAACCACAACCAGAATGACTCTCATGTATTCGAGACTCTATCTTAAAAGACCAACTTGATAGGATGAGTAATTTATTAGTCAATATTTTACTAGTGTCAGAAATATTTCAACAAGAGTGAAAGTCGTGCACCATGATACACATTATTGCTTCTGGTTATTATTAGGCCTTTAGAAGTTTGTTTGTATAAAATTAACTTATTATAAAATCAAATTTTCGCTAATATTAAGATCTTATTATATACAACTAAACTTTATATATTTAGGAGCTATATATAGTAGAATTATATTAAATCACAAAACAAATAAATATTAATGAACATTGATTGTATGTTAAATGCGTGTGTAGATGTGCTTACCCTATCTACTGAGCATAGCATTCCGCCAACGTGTAAGTGAAAACCCGATGTCCAACGTTGCTTTATTTTCCTGAAACATACGAATTAGAGAAAATATAAATAAAAGGGATTAATCACATTTCAAAAATATGGCTCAGAAACTCTTATGAGAATAAGTTTTAATGCTTTTCTTGTAGTATGGATGAAGTAGTGTTATTTTCGAATAAAAACGTGTTTATCACTTTACTCGATCATTTCTTATTTAATTTGCAACAAAGTCAGATAACAATTTCACGTAGAATAAGGAGTTGATGATATCACTTTGGCCCTTACCTGGAAAGAGATCCTATATTCTTCCTTGTAGACGCCATCATTACCTACACTAAAGAAATAAAGAGTTAGAGATAAAGTGTTTGACTTTTGTTAAATGAAGTACGGGTAATAATTTTTGGAGTTACACCATGATATGGTGAAATCATACAAACTTCTGAAATAAGGCTGGGCCTCTGGTGCGCACGGGAAAAAGGCCTACCATCATTGGGCCGACTGAGTCACCGTGATTAACATCCTCCCAAAAATCCTGTCGGGTCGGGGTATGGGGCTCCTAGGGTGGGAGATTCCACCTTTTGGACCAAGTGAAATCATACAAACTAGAAATAAATGAAAGAAAATCCTATTCTAACAGACTTTAACTATCAATTTTGAATATATTGCTTTTATTTCTTAACTTTTATTTGGGATGATTTGTGTTTCCCTCGATCCCTTTCATTTTCTTAAATAATTACTCCTTCCGATCCTAAATAAACTTCACATTTCTTCTCCCTTCTTTATTTGGCAAATTATCTACATCAAAACAGTGCAAAACAGTGTAAAACAGTGTCAAACAGTGTCACAACAGTGTACTCTACAGTAAAGTTAAATTTATTTTCTTAATTTGTGTGAAGTTTATTTAGGACCGGAGAGAGTATTATTTATGTTACACTTTTGTTACGATTTTTATTCACAAAGTTTTACAATGTGTACTTCCTTATTTTTAGTTTTACCTTATGACTCTAATCACCGTTATACTGATTGTTGAGTGTGTCATGTTAACCATTAGAGGCATCACAATCTGAGCACCAAACTAAAGTTCTTAGGTACAAAATCTTCTTATACTCACGATTTCCAAAAATCATTCTAAAAAGTTTATTTTGACGATTTCGAATGGGAGGTTTAAAAAACCAGCTCTTATATCACTTAAATTGTCACGTCCCAGACTTGTTGGTGACATCGACAACTGTCGTATGCACCCATTAAGGGCAGTAAAAGCCCATCTTTATCGAATTATACGAGGCGTCATATATATTACACAAAGTATCTAATAACAATGGAAAAATGTTCAAATATGTCATCGAACTTACATAAAAAGGTCAAATAAGCCCTTATATAGAAGGATCTGTCACGCCGTCACCATTTGGGACGGTTCCCGGTGAAAATTTTTGATAAAATTTTTTGAGCATCTTATTCATTAAGTCTAGTTTACTCATATCAAATATGAGATAGAAATGCAATCGGGAAGGCATTCAAATGAATTCTTGAAGATAACTGCGCAATCAAAAGCGCAGTTATATTCAAGAATTCATTTGAATGCCTTTTGGATTGAAATGTTAGCTGAAATTTGGTATGCGTAAACTAGACTTAATGAATAAGATGCTAAAAAAATTCATCAAACAAATCCACCGGGAACTGCCCCAAATGGTGACAACCGTACAGAGCCTCCTATATAAGGGCTTATTTGACCTTTTTATGTAAGTTCGAGAACCTATTTGAACCTTTTTCCAATAACAATAAATTAAAAATATTTGATTTAATATTCAATGAAAATAATATTTAAAAAATAATTAACCACGCAGGGCAAAATAAAGGCACACAGGTCCAATACAAATGTAAATATAAATTGTTTATCCCTGAGCATTCACCTTATAAATTTTATAAATATCTTTTAAAGTAGAGTTGGGAAGCATGAATCAATTCTTCACCGGAATTCAGGCAGCGAGCACAAGTTCCAACCAAACTACGGAGTATTATTGAAGTCCCCAAAGGGTCGGTACTACAATCACCAAGTACCAGTGATGGATAGTGTACCAGGGGGTAGCTTATCCGAGGGGTTATTACGGGGAGTAATAAGAGAGAAGTCAGAGCAAGTAAATATAGAGAGAGAAAGTATATTATAAAGTGTGGAGTGTTTTCAGCGTGGTTACAAATGGGGGAATGTGGTGCTATTTATAGTAGCAATAAATGCCGGACAGGGACACGTGTCAAGCGCCCATTGGCCGAGAGGTCACCTCAACTGGTTGGCGCTGGCAGCCGCATGTGGCCGCATTTAATGCGGCTGTTGGATGGGATGTTTATACAGGGTACGGTGATCTGTACGCATGTGATGCGGATATCATGTCGGGAAAGGTGCCCTCGGCTGTAGAGGACTAACCGAGGGCTCTGAGTACTGGAGACCCTCTTGGTGCCGAGGGCTCAAGGTGCCGAGGGCTAGTGATTTTCGCCGTTTTCCCCAGTCATCTTGTTTTCCTGTTATGGCCCTCCTGTGGGAGTTAGAGCCCTCGGCCAGGGGGCCGAAGGCACCCCTGGTGCGCATTGTGGGCTACTTGGTACTCTAGGCGCTGTGATTTGGGCCTGTTGGGCCTTCTGGGCCTGTTGGGCCTTTGTTTGGAGTAGTAGGAGTCTGTGGGCCGGGGGTTCCCGGGCCATATACTCCATCAGGAGTCCCTCACTCCTTTTGTCGAAAGGTACTTGAGGGAAAATGAGTAATTTGTGCTTGTCCTCTGCCGTTGTTTCGTTTGTAGTTCGTAGAGTCGTGGGTAGTTTGCTGTTTGTTTATTCTGCCGAGGGTAGTCCCTCAGTTACCCACATGTCGGGACTTGAGGGGTCATGTTTGTAATTTTTGTGGTTTTTACCGAGGGGGTCCTCCAGTCCCCCACTCCTTGAGGCACTTGCAAAGTGGTGAAAAGGAGTAGAGTAGTTGCGCTGCTGTTGTGGGCCGAAGGCTGACGCTTTTCGTTTCATTTTGGGGGATGCCTCGTTAAAAACCTCATTAGGAAAAACCATGTGGGAAAAAAATCCTAATGAGGGAAAAAGAGTGCACCGAATTCCCCCAACGATGAATCGAAAATGTGAAACCTTGGTTCAAAATGGAGAATAATGATGATGCCGAAGGCTCTCCTTGTTCTGAGGGCTCATGTGTTGATTAGCCGGAGGCTTGTTGTTGATGTTCTGGGAGGTGCCGAAGGCGGGTCCCTCAATCTGGGGATCGATGGCGTAATGAATGCGGGTGGCAGTCGAGTCGTTAACGGGGGGTCCCCTGTTTGTTGATTAGTTGGTGATGAAGATACCCGAGGGCTCCCCATTACCTGTGTGCCGTAGGCTATCCGTCAATGAGGTATACTCCCCGGGGGCTACCTGACCCTTACAGTGCTGAGGGGGGATCCCCGAGGGGTGGCCTGATAAAAAGCTTTGGGCTTCTGAAGGAGTGATCCCGAATGCGTCTGTTACGTACTGTGTGGGGCACAACCCGGGAGCGTCTCTGAGTAAGTGTACCCAGGGGCTCCCCTTGATGAAGTGGAGTGAAGTAAAAACCCGGGGACTCCCAGAATATAGCCGTTGGAAATATAGCCGTTGGAATATGTACCGTCCGGATATAGCCGTTGGAGGGGGTTGCCACGTGGTGCGTGCTCGTTGGCTGCCCGTGGGCGGGCGTCACCGATTGGGCGAAGACACGGCGAGTAATGATGACAGTCCAACCGGAGGCCCGGTTTCCAGGCCCAAGCCCGGATTCCGGCGCCTATAAATACCCATGGCCGGGCTTCCTTTCCCTTGTGCGAAATCCTTATAGCGAAGCTCTGCCAAATTTTCTAGAGAGAGAAACAGCAGCCCTCGATCAGATTCTAAGGTCAGTTCTCCATTCGCACTTCCCCTCTTAGCTAGTTGTCTTTGTGGCCTTAGATTAGGTGGGTAGCTTAGAGTACTTAGCGTCTCCGAACCCTCGACGTAGTATTGCAATGTCTTCATAGAGTGATTCTCAAGACATCTCGGGGGCGCCCTCGATGGAGGATGAAGTCCTCTCGGATGTGGAGTCCTCAAACGAACAGTCCTCGGCCCAGGAGGATGTTGCGATGGCGGTAGAAGTGCAGAAGGAGCTGTTGGCTAAAGTTTAAGCCGAGGGCTTCGAGCAGGAGGTGGAAGACGAAGAGCTGGCCCTCGCCATGCAGGTTGCAGAGGAGGAGGAAGCAAAGGAGAGGACGAGGGTGACCGTGGCCGTTCTTCCCCCTCGGGGTGCCGGTGAGGCCAGCACCTCTCGGCCGTTGAACGCGGTTCCCATCCGAGTGGCCCCCGGAAAGAAGAAGGCCAAGGTAGCTGCTCCCAAGAAGAAGGGCAGCGTTGCAGATCAAGGGAAGCCCCTCGATATGCCCGAGGGGTACTCCTACCTGAACACCGCCGTCTTGGAAATAAGGTCGAAGGTTGATGCGGCGGACATCTACGTCACTCAGCTTCACGTGGACCCCTCGGCCATCGTGGTGACACCGGGTCCAGATGATGTCCTCTCCCGGGCTCCCGAGGGCTGTATTGCGGTGCACGTTCTCTCGGTGTCCATGGGGCTCCGCTTCCCCCTGCACCCTTTCCTCCGGGAGTACCTCCGGTTCGTGGGTTTGGTCCCCTGCCAGCTGACCCCGAACAACCATTCCTACATTACCGGCTTCCTCCATCTCTGCAAGTCCCGGGGGGTGACACCTAGCCTGGACCTCTTCTTCCAGAGCTTCAATCTGTGCCGGGGGGCATGCGAATGCCGAGGGCTTCGCAAACTTGCAGCAGGTGGCAATGTTCAAGCTCTTCACTGAGGCGCCCTCCTCGAACAAGGGATGGAAGGATCGGTGGTGCTACGTGAAGCTGACCGAGAGCCCCTTCCCGAGGGAGTTGCGTGACCGTTTCAGGAGGCACGAGAAGAGGAGGAGCGCCGCCCTCGAGAAAGACGGCAGGATTCTGGCCACGATCCCGGAGGGCCGGGACAAAAATATTACCATTAAGGAGTGCACCAAAGAGGAAGATCTCTACACCCTCGGGTTCCGGCGGTATCGCTTCCTGGGGGAAACAGATGAGAAGTTCCCGGTGTTTGAGGGAGCCTCCGGAGGTAGTGGCTGAGGGCACCCTCATTTTCATATCTTAGCACATAGTTTATCTGTTTGTTCTTTTATTTCTTGTGCCTTCTGTTAGTAACCTCTCGATTTTAACCCCATACTATTTTTGCAGGTATCCCAGTGAATATGATGAACGTCAAAGGCCTTGCCCGATTCAAGAACAAGCCAGCCAAGGATCCGAAGGGGTCGGACGC